GGATGAAGAAGATTGAAGGGAGACTTAAACCCCAAAACCCTGGATGGCATACGGTTTATAAGRTARRTAGCARTAAGAAYARCATCACCCCAAAACCTGGTAGGAACATGTGAGGCAAATAAGATACTTCTTGCAATTCAACAATATGCCTATTTTTCCTCTCAGCAACCCCATTCTGTTATGGGGTCCTAGCACATGAGCTTTGATGAAAAGCCCCCATGTCAGAGAGATAGCAGGATAGGTTTTTCTCAAAGTATTCTTTTGCATTGTCAGATCTGAGGATTTTAATCCTGGTATCAAATTGGGTTAAAACAAGTTCATGGAATTGTCTTACAAGTCTTGGAACTTCATCACGRGATTTCATCAGGAATATCCAAGTGAACCAAGAAAAATCATCAATAAACAGGATAAAATATTTATAGCCACCCATGGAAGGTAAGTGGTAAGGCTCCCACACATCAGAGTGCACAATATTAAAAGGAAAAGAAGATCTTTTATTGCTCAAAGGATAATTGTTTCTACAATGCTTTGACAATTCACAAGACTCACAATAAAGACTAGACAAACTAATTCCCTTAAACAGTTAAGGGAAAAGATGACTCAAGGAAGAAAAAGACAGATGACCAAAACGACGATGACACAACATAATCCGACGAACAGACTCTGAAGAGACAGATCCGAGAGCAACATTCCCAAGATGATCAGTGCATCGTCCCGAAGTATCAAGCAGGTATATTCCGTTTGCCTCATGGACACTCCCAATCACCTTCTGAGACTCCAGATCCTGAAAAACACTGTAGGAAGGAAAAATGGTTACACAACAGTTTAGTGACTTGGTTAAACAATCACAAACAACAGATTTGTATTTAGTTTAGGTACATGGAGGGCAGAAGGTAGGAACATGGAATCCGTAGCCTTGATGGTTCCCTTACCAGAGATAGGGGCAAGTGAACCATTAGCTAAAGTGATTTTATCACGTCCAGGAAGCAAGTCATATGAAACAAACAAGGTAGACAGATTGGTCATATGGTCAGAAGCTCCTGAGTCAATAATCC